CCCCCCCCCCACCATTTTGAAGGGTGGGCATGCTGATAGAGGAGATGCTGTGGCGCTTTAGAGTGGCTCTCAGAACTGCTTTAATTAAAGTGCCACCCCTCTCCCCCAGAGCACATATAAAAGTGCCCTAAAGGTACCACCATGCCTTGCCTTCTGCCTACCCAAACTCATGTGTCATTTCCTTGATTTAAGTAGAATTCTGCTTGGAGCATTGTATTAAATGAAAATACCAAATCAGGGTTAGTGAATTTTTAATAGTGAAAAGTTAGTGAAACTTTTCACTATTAAAATGGGAGCCTTTGAAAGGTGAAATTTAATATAGTCTCATCTGGTGACTTTTTTTTTTAAACACCCCCCAAACAAACGAAGTCAAAATAGTTTCTTTCACTTTGGATGCTTGGAACTAGAATAATACAATCGTAGAAAGTGAGGGTTGGAAGGGCCCTCAGGAGGTCGCATCTAGTCCAACCCCTGCTCAAAGCAGGACCATCCTCATCTAGATCATCCCAGCTAAAGCTTTGTCTAGCTGGGTTTTGAAAACCTCCCACCACCTCTCCGGGTCACCTGTTCCAGTGTTTTACTACCTTCCTAGTGAGAAAATTCTTCCTAATATCTAACCTAAACTTCCCTTGCTGCAACTTGAGATCATTGCTCCTTGTTCTGTCATCTGCCACCACTGAGAACAGTCTCTTTCGAACCTCTTTTGAACCCACTTCAAGTAGTTGAAGGCTGTTATTAAATCCCCCCTCAGTCTTCTCTTCTGTAGATTAAATAAGACCAGTTTCCCCAGCCTGTCCTCAGAAGTCATGCCCCCGAGCTCCTGAAGAATTTTTGTTGCCCTCCATTGCACTCTCTCCAATGTGTCCACATCCCTTCTGTAGCGGGGGGCCCAAAACTGCACACATGACTCCAGATGTGGCCTCCCCAGTGCTGAATAGAGGGGAATAATGACTTCCCTTGTGCTGCTGGGAACGCTCCTACCAATACAGTCCAGTATGTCATAAGCTTTCTGGGCAACAAGGACACATCGCTGGCTCCTATTCATCTTATTGTCCACTGTCACCCTCAGGTCCTTTTCCGCAGAGCTGCTGCCCAGCCAGTACTGGTGCATGGGATTGTAGGACTTTGCACTTGTCCTTGTTGAACCTCATGAGATTTCTTTTGACCCAATACTTCAGTTTGTATAGGTCTCACTGAATCCTAGCTCTGCCCTCCAGGGCAGTGGTCTCCAACCTTTTTATGGTGAAAATCACCTTTTGTAAGTAAAGGGCACCCCAGGATCTACCGCCCCACCCTCATTAAGCAATACTGAAAGAATCCTCTTACACTTGGGATTGCTTAAATCTCAATCAACTATTTAATCATTTAAGAAATGATCCTTCCAGCTTACTGAGACTTGCCTATACTTGGCCAGTGATACCGACCTTCCTTGTAAAGCACTTTGGTGCTTTTTGTCCACAGATCTCCTATAGCAGCTCAGCGTTACTATAACGTGCTGACTTCTGTTTTATCCAAAGTCGGGCTGCCTTGCTCAGTCCTCACATGTACGACAAGCACAGCCAAGGGGAGGGAATTTCCTGTCAGGTTAGGATCATGCTCCCATATTATGGGTTTGCTTTTTGTGCAGGTTTGAAACTTGAGACCTTGGCCCCATCCAGGAGGATTTGCAAGAGGTGGCCGGTAGTTGCTAACTTGGAAAAGTTCCCAGTTAGATGTGATGGAGTTTGTGGGGAGAAAAGTTGGTCCCCATATGGAAAAGGCTGAGAAATACCATTCTTTTGGATTTGAAATTCTGCTTTGTCTCTTGGTGGCTGTGCTGGTGTAGCGCTCATCTTGTAGACATCCCATTACTAATGTTAAGTGTGGATTCCTGGATTCCTAACGTACTTGGCTTCTTTGTAGATAACTGAAGGTCCTTGGCGTGAGTCTTGACAAGAGGTCCCCTTTATGGTTGGCTGGTTTCCATCCTCCCTAAAGCAACATTAATTATTTTTAATGAAGAAATCTATTCTGCTGCCAAGTGAACTCTCTGATTATCACCCTGAGCTAGTTTTTTCCACTTCTTGCTCAGATTCCAAGATATACAAATACGAATGACCAGGAATGAAGCTAAAGAGAGAACCAACATGAATGGGTTCTGAATCCTAAACAGGAATAAGAAAACTAGTTAAAAAGAAGCAAGCTCAAATTAAATACAAGTCCTTGAGATTCAGAGGATACTTTAAAAAACAGTCTTTATTTATTTTTGTGTTCTTAACTAGGAATCTTGCATGGATTCCATACTTCATGGTCAATACAGCAATATGGGAGAGAGCTAGAGATTTCCAGAAAGCAGTTTCATCCCATGCACCGTCACTGTTGTACTACGTGCATTTGTGACATTGCATAGCGTCCTGGTGGACCTGGAATTGATGCCAACCACAGGGTCAATCTATCACCAGCTCAGCTCGCACCTGAAAACCTGTGCAAAACAGGGTCAGAAATTGTCCTTAGGAATGGACTAGTTAATGCGAAGGTTTGCGCTCCCTAAGTAGGACTGGATTAAATTGGGTGTTGCTAACAACTTTTGCTGCAGGGAAAATCCTGGAGTTACGTGGTTTTTATAACCCATCCAAACACATTACACGCAACTGTAAGAAAATGCAGTGCTCTAACGGTGGATGTCCTTCCAACAGTGTTTTCTCTTTAGCTGGTAGATATCTCAGAAGCAGGAGGAAAAGGCTGCAGAGAGGTACATGCATACATGGCTTTTGAACACTAACTGGTCAATGTTTTGCTTTTCAGTGGAACTTTCCATTGCTCATGCTTGTTTGGAAGATGGCACCGGCACTGTGCTGTGGGAACACACTGGTTATTAAGCCAGCTGAGCAGACTCCCCTCACTTCACTCTACATGGGCTCGTTAATCAAGGAGGTAAGTAACCTAAGCAGTGTGTTTAGTAGGCTCGTGCAACTTGCTGTTCCCCTTTGGCGCTGGGGCCAGTTCAAAATCTGGCTGTAGCTCTCTTTAGCTCCCAAAGATCTTGTTGCAAACAAGACTTGAAAGTCTTGCAGATGAGAAGAGACAGAAAATGTGTGTGTTTCTCTCTCTTTCCCACCCCAAGTCCTGACTACTCTGTCTATCCTTATCGATTCATCCCCCTCTGTTTTATCTCTTCAATAATGCCTCATGTATGTAACAGCAGGCATTTGCTTCTTGCGGTTGTATGCAGCAGGCAAAGACTTGCAGTAATTTAAAGGGGATAAAGCAATTTGTGCAGTCAGTCGTGGTTCAAGTAGTTTGTTTCTAATACGGTCAGTGAGAATGTATGGGGTTAAGTTTTTTGCCACCTTTTTACTCTTCTGAGTGAGATTAGTCCCAGAAAGCCTGGGAGTGATCACAGAGCTGAATGCTACTTGGCATGAGGACTAGCAGCAGACTTCAGGCCGTCTGAATAGGAGCCCAGTCCTGCAGCTGTTTCATGCGCAGAACTCCCACTACAGTACCTCATTGCACTGCCTGTATGCAGATTTATAAAGGACCATGGGGCCCTTCCAGAGGCAGTAAACAGATGTCACAGTTGTCACGGTACTGGTTGACCCAGCATGCGTCCTGCAATGAAAATTGGTGCAATGCCTTTCAAAGCGGGTTTAAAGAGCAGGGCCCTGGTAAACTGACCTTCAGCCAGGATGGCTCTGGGTTTGGTTGGAGATTGGGGCTGTCTGGGCAGCGGCTGACAATCGGGTAATTGTCAAAACCCTGTGCCTGGCAGCTATGGCTGGGCTGCCTGGCATGGGTGATAAAAGGCTCCCTGCATGGGGTGCAAACTGCCAGGCTTTCCCTGCTGGGGACTGTAAACCTTGCCGGGAGCCTCTGTCCCAACATAAGTCCTGGGGGCAGCAGGGGGAAGACGTTCTGCACCAGCTCTCTACTCCTCCGCCGCCATGAGCAACAGATATTGGCCTGGCCCCAGTGCACCAGGACTTTTAAAAACCGCATGTGCAGGCCGGCTGCTCCCGCATGGCTTTCTGACATCCCTGGCACATGGGGACCCCATGATCAGGGAGCATCTCCCCAGTCCTGGGGTCCTTGTGTGCCTGGGATGTCTAAAAACTTTATACGCAACTCAGCTGAACTGCCTACACAGTTGTTAAAAGTACCAGTGCACTGAGGCCAGGGCCAACAATCAACTGAGTGTTGGGTGCTCGTGGCCTTCAGGAAGTGACACATGAGAACCCCAGGATCAAGGAGAGGCTTCCTGATCCTGGGGTCCCTATGTGCCAGGGCTGTAGGCTGCACTGCTTCTCTTCAGTGGCACATTCAGCCAGTGCACCATAACTGTAAAGATGTCCACTGTGATCAAGTGGGGCACGCTGTTGGTTAGGTGTTGGTCCAGCTCTTCTGGGCATTTGTGGTGTGACAAGCAGCAAAGATGTCTATACGCTTGCATATTGTCCCTCCATAAAACATTTTGCAATGCCACAAGGGCGATGTCCATTCACAGCCAGAATGTGATGGGCCAATCCTCATACTGTGGGGATCATACCCTAGAGCAGCTGGATCTGGCCCAGAGAGCTGCTGAGCTACCAATGAGCCAGGGAGACTCAAGGTCTGGATCTGGCATGGGGTGAATTTGCTACCCCTGACCTAGAGCTTCAACCTAGGATCAGTACTTCCACCTAGAAGCAGTACTTTGCTTACCCAAAGGATGCAGGGTCCGTTGGACTTGGGATTCAAGCTTGCCAGAACCCAAGCTTCACAGAGCAACACTGCAGGTGCTTGGTTCATTGTAGGACCAGGGGACCCCTGCACAAGGCCCACCCTTTGCATTTGAGATGAGGGTGAGATGCCAATTCCAAATCTAGTTCAGGGGAAAGGACTGAAGTGACAGAAAACCAACATGCTTAGGTGAGCACCCCTGGTCCAAAGCACTCAAGATGTTCAGTGTAATGTGGCATAGCTCAGGATATGCATCAGCCTGAGAGTTAAGGTAAGTGATTTCTCAGACCAAATGTTGGGGGTCCAAAGGTACCCAGGCCCTCTTTGCTACTTGGAGCCTGGGGAAAAAGACGGACTCATACCACAGTGTACTTTGTATAGTGCTTTCACATCCTAAACCTCACATGCCCAAAATGAAACAACTTTTTGGAGGTCAGAGGATTAGATGCAGAGATGGCAAAATGACTTGGCTGTAAGACTGGGAGTTGGGACCTATGAAGCCATATCTCTTCCCAGTCACCAATATTTAACAGCCACAGCTTCAGTAGCACTGACTGGGAGTCTCACAGAAACCATTTTTTTTAACAACTCTTCTACTTTGAATATGTTCCCTATTTAAACACCAATCTGTCCAGCCATCGCTAACAGTCAGGCAAATAGATTAAAAATGTGTTAAATGGAAACTGTTGATACGTTTGAGTCAAAGTTACCATAATATAAACCTAAAATAAGGGGATCTTCTTAAGTCATAACACATGGCATTGATAACGCTTGGAACTGATCTTTTTTTTTTTCCCCAATTAACAAGCTGAATTAACTTTAACTCTTTGTACTGACCAAAGCAAAACTTCTGGCTCTCATGTGCATGTCTGAGGAGGGTGGGGAATGGAGGATAACGATGTCTGTTTTTTTGGGGTTGATCTGAATCAAAACTTTGCTTCTCTCTGCTTCTGTTTGGCTTCCAAACCAAAAGGACCTACTGCTCACACCTCTCTTCATGAATTATTTTCATGGGACTTGACCAGTCCAGGTACAAAATCTATTTACCTACCTTTTGTCGTCACAATGGCTGTGAAAAACCAAATTGTTCGCGTCATCTGTTGCACCAAAAAACAACTACTCAAAGATCAATTGCAATTTTGCAGGGTATCTTGCAAGTTGATAATTTCCCTTTTTTCTCCTATACTAAATAAATATGAGTCTCACTTGATCGATCCAAAGAAGCCTGTAAGTGCAGGTGTCTTTCCCTTATTAGCCCTAGAAAGCCGTGTCACTATTGACAAGAAAGAAAGGAAACGGAGCGATGACTGGGTGTTATGCGAGAAGGTTGTTTGCCTGCATTTCCCAATCAAAAATGGAGTGTAGCCAACTTGGAAATGCGTGCTGCTCTGAGGGGTGGTGAGTTTCAGAGAGCAGAGAAAGCCAGACTGGCTGGGCCAAGACGCTGACTCCTGTTTCACTCAGATTTTACCAAAGTTTGGCCACTTGTGTTTTTTGGCAAAAACTACTAGGTGGCAAAAAAATACTGTAAGTGTGGTGGAAACTGGCACAGGTTTCTTACCATCTGTGCTTGTGTTCTTCTCACTAACACCATCCTCTCCTGGTGTCTTATTGACTGCTTTAATCCCTCTGGCCCCTGGAGAACCACAAATGTCAACTTGAGGATCTTTCCATTCAAAACAAACTTCCAAGAGCCAATTGTTTGCCTCCGGTTACCCATTGACTAGGGCTGAGTAGCTGGCATGGAGGGTTAGACTTGGCCAGAACACTGTCATGTAAAAAGACCTGCAAAATTTGGGTACACCTATACTTGCCTGCCAACTCCAGATACTATGTAAGGGTGTTTGACCTTTACCGAATCCACCTGGGAGCAAACAGATCACTGGGAAGTGGTCTGGAAAGCCCTTTTTCATGCGGGATTGTCTGTTTGTCTTTGGTAGACAAATGTGTAGATACTGTGTGCTGCTTACAGAGCTAATGTTTTGGAGTTGATGAGCACTTAGGCCTGCACTTGATCGTAATACGAGTGCCCTCTTGTGGGTAAAATCAGGTGTGTGTGTGTGTGTGTGTAAGTGTTTACAGGAGTTGGCTTTTCATGATGACTCGAACTCCCTGGGGCAGGTTATAACTCCTTGAGATGCTTGCATGGAAAATAATAAAGGCATGCTTTGTTAGTCTGATGGAAAATAAACCTTTAATAGTAGCATCATGCAATTAATTTAGTGTGCTTTGCCTCAGATCCAGAATAAGCATACCGTTTAGTGAATGCTAGGAGGGATTGTAAGTAGTCCTTACTACCCCATTTCTATGTTTGATTCCTTTCCAGGTGGGATTCCCTCCAGGTGTGGTAAATATAGTGCCAGGATATGGCCCCACAGCTGGGGCTGCCATTTCTACCCATCATAACATTGACAAAATAGCTTTCACTGGCTCCACCAAGGTAGGTGATTGATTTCTTCTCAAACTGGCCTTTATCTTTGCTGAAATACAATGTTTATTCTCCTAAAACTGGCTGTGCCTGCCAGACTGAGCTGTTGTAACTTAATGCGGTTCTGTGCCTTCAAAGAAACAGGGTTGGGGATTGTATATAGATTTTTGCAGAAGTGCCTCAGCACTGGCCTTACTCCCCTGTGCCTACCACCACCACCACCACCAAAGGGTTTGCCATTGACTTTTGTGGTCATAGAATCAGGCCAATCTGTAATGCTTTTGAAAATCTCACACGCCCATCTTTGTAACTTTATTCTTGCCACTTTGCCAAGTCTTTGGAAGGCTGTCACCCACTAATGGTGCTTGTAAGAGAGCTTGGTCACATCAGAATGATTGAACACATCATCTAAACCATGCTGTAAATAGCCAAAGTCTGAGTGACCAATGTTGTCCAACAGGTAAAGTCCTGTTTACCAGTAAGAATATTCAGAAACACTTTTCTGCTGTCCTGTTAATTGCAAACTACCTACTAAGTCTTTACTGCTGTGTCTCTGGGCTTGCTAATTTTGTCATTGACTTAATTGGGATAGTTAGTACCATCACCTTCATCTAGTCTTCCTTTCCATTAAATTTGTAAGAGATTAAAATATCACATTAAGGGCATGTCTATGGTGACATTGCTACGGTGCTATGCTTTAGTATTTCCTTTTGGAAGTACCGAAGCACCGCACTGCACTGTGCACATGGTGCACGGTTGGATTTTGCTGCTACGCTCCTGTAGCAGTGCACTAAAATGGGGCGAGTGTGCCACTATGGTGATGTAGCTGCTGATCACGTGTAGACCCATGTGATTGCTATGTTGCTGTCATACGCCATATGGCGACGTAGCGCATTGCTGTGTGCCGTAGGGCAACGTGTAGATGCACCCTAAGAATCCTAATTGGCTGTAGGTGCAAGATAGAGGCACAATCCTGCCTTGGTCTCCCAGTGCTTTAATTTGTAGCTAGCAGTTTGGGGGAGAATAGATGGTAACCCTTGGCCAGTGTTGAACGTATCTATTAAATGGCAATCATCAGTTGCAAGCAATCCATTTGCTGAATTTATTTGCAGTTTCAGGGAGGTTTTGAGCAGGGCACTGGCCAGCAAAGTCTGAGGGAGGGCGAGAGCAAGTTGCAAATGGATCAAATCAAAATTTGCCATTCGGTGTGAATTTCTTCCTTCCCTCCCCACTCTGTTTTGAGTCTCTGCCCATATCATACTGCAAGAAAATTTATACCCAGATGTGTCTTCACTTGCTACATGACCAATGGCAGCACTCAGATAAAGGCCCAACATTTTACGTGAGGTTCATTTCCTACCATGCCACATGTTGGACATGTTTGGGATTTCTTCCACTCCTTTTCCCTGAGTACAGGCATCCTCACTGAGCGATCCAACCCATTCATTTTGACATTCACCACATGCTTATTATAATTTGCATAATTATGACAAATTGCTCCGTGCCTCTTGCCTCGTTCCCCAGCACTAAAGGTACCTCTTGCTTCTGACACTCCAAAGGCAGCCAAATGTTTTGCATTTAACAACAGTACCATCTAGTGGCTATCATAGATGTGTATATTACTTTTGGTTGTCCCAGAGAAGTCTACTGAGCATACTTATTTCTACACAAAGACTGCCAACCAAAATCCATAGCATGCGGATGTTCAGTATCATTTGCTGCGTCATTGGGTAATATATCTGAAACATATACACATTGTTAGGTGGAAATATTGATTGTTTTAATTTTCACAGCCCCAAATCTTATTAACTTAATTTTTTTTAAAGAAGTCATTGAACACTTTCTGGACTCACTTCTCATAAAAACCAAAACAGACACAGTTGAGAGAAGTAGTTTCTCCAGTGCTTTGCTCTAAGGGTTTGGTGAAATGCTGACCCCACTGGGAGCGTTTGACCAACACTAACGTGTGGATTTTGGTCCTGGTGTTTTGCTTTCGTGATTTGTGCGAGTGCAGAATGACTTGTGAGGTGCTCGGCTTCTACATTTAATAATGGCAATTTAAGTAACTCAGGTAGGTATTTCTAATCAATTTATACCTTTGGTTTTCATGCACTAGCAAACTGCTTGCTTTTAAGTGATTGTGCTTCTGTCTGTTGTTACAGAAAGTATCAGTCTTGGATTACCTGATATTCCCTTCTCGCTTCATGCTTTTCAGCAACGAGTTCAGTTAGTTGGCTGATTTGGAACAAAACTACCATATTATGCCTTAATTAATTTTGTCACAAGGTTAACAGTGCACATTAGTTTCCATGCTGTTACTGCTATCTCGAGGGATAGACTGGTAGGCTGACAGGAACACCATGTCCTGCCAATTGGCAAACCAGATGACAAAAGAATGCAAACACGTTTTAAATGACTCTCATTCAATGTAACTGAAACTCTTTTTTGGTCAGGATTGTCTTTTGCTGTCAGGAAGAGAGGCTAGAAACAGAGGACAAATGGTTTGAAATGGAAGCAAAGCATTTTAATTTTAGACTGACGGACTTGCTGAGAGAATCTCATAGGAAAAATGTACAATGAGGAGGTGGTTTTGACTAACCTGAAGTTGATGGACAATTAATTATAATTATACCCCTTGTTCTGTAAGAGATGATGACAAAGCAGCTGTATCCATACTTTAAGCATAAAACTCACTGCCTCCAGTCATGATAGGTGTTGTCTGATGGCAGAGTTACACGTTACACTTAGATGATACCAAATCTGTGGAGCGTTAAGCGGTATTAAAGTTAGAATCTAGCATGAGCAGTCGTGTTATGGGTTAATACCGTTTCTTGCCTGCACAACTCTGACTTGCCACTAGGGGGCTGCAAACAGGGGAGTGGCTAGAAGCCAGGACACTTGGGGGAAGGGACTGGGAGCAGTGTATCCTGGGATGCTGGAGGACTGCAAATTGCTCATTTTATCTCCATGAAACAGACTGAGTTGGATAGTATGGCCCAGAGTTAAACCTTGCCTGAAGAGGCGAAACTTGGAGAGGCTCAGCAGGCAGTTGGTACAAGTTAATGAGCTTTCACATGTAAATGCTTAGTATGATCTAAGTGTAATGTGTAACTTCACCCTGAGAGATCTTGCTATTCCATAATAAGGTTTTCACAGTGAGTATGTACTGTACCTGTTCAGTTATGGTGCCAGACTGGCTCCTTTCTAAGCCATTTTAGTGCATTTTGTCGCATGTGAAGGAATGGCAGCACCAGTCCTATAGGCCTATAATATGCCTGGTGGTGCCCCTGTTTCGAGAGCCAGCAAATCCAAAGGGACTGGCCACCTTGAATGACCAGACCTTTTCCACTGTTGGCAGTTTCGGAGCCTGTTCTGCCCTTCCTAACGTAGCTCTGGGGTTTGTCTGAGGAGTAACTCTGTTCCCTGTGTATTCCAATGACAGGTTGGAAAACTGATCAAGGAAGCTGCCTCTAAAAGCAACCTCAAAAGGGTGACGTTGGAGCTGGGAGGGAAGAACCCTTGCATCGTCTGTGCAGATGCTGACTGTAAGTGCTTCTTGCATTGCAATCCCACTGTTAGTATTTAGGGACCACTGTGACAGAGTATAGCCCAGCCTGCTGCACACTGGACAAGCATGTTATGCCAGAGGGTGTGGTAGGTCTCCCTATACCAGTAAGGCTTTCTTGTAACAAAGGGTAGATCAATATGAAGAGGAAGCAGACTAACACTGCCCTCCCTGCTGGCAGCTGGCCCACTTTGCTGAAGTGTCATATCCATACACTCCTGTTCTTCCTGTACCACTGTCTCTGCCAGTGCTACAGCACCCACTGACTTGGCCCTTCAGGGTAATCAGGCATGACATTTCTACCAGGGGTGGATGGGGTGCCTTTTGTTTGACGGTCCTACAGACATGCACATCTATTGCCCTGCTGTAGGCAGACAAGGCTCTTTGGGTAAATGTGATATCTTTTATTAGGGTTGTTGGCTGTAGCCATGGTGGTCTAAGGACATAGGCAGATGAGGTTCTTTGGGTAAATGTGATATCTTTTATTAGACCAACTAAATAGTTGGAAAAATTGTTCTTTGCAAGCTTTCGGACACAAACGCCCTTCTTCAGGCATTGGGCGGGTCTGCTGGTGTTTTGTGTTCTCGTGGGTGGAGTAGAAACCAATACAGCCTGTCCTGCTGTACGTATTTGCAAAGTATGCAAGATAAAAGTCACTAACACATTTCCCCTGGGATGATGCTGTGTAGGTCTATAGTCCGTCACAGCTCATTTGAGTTAATTGCCAGTTGTTCCCAAGACAAGCAGGTCAGGCTGTGTGCTCTGCTTGGCCATCTACCTGCAGAAGGGCAGCAGTGCAGAGAGGGCTACATGTGTCAAGGGCTGCGTTGGTCCTGGGTTTGGACAATTTGGCCAATGAAGACCACTTCAAATGAGATGGCTGTTTACAGGCTTGCTCAGAGAAGTTGCAGCTACTTCCCACCAAGGCAGCTGTTTCTGCAACACACTTGCAGTTGCAGGTCACCTGCAGAAAACTGGGTTCCCACCAGTTTGAACCTAATCCAGCAGGCCCTTGTAGGGCAGGGCTGTCCAACTGATGGCCTGCAAGGGGTTAAGTTGCAGACCCTGGGCTCCCACCTGGCCACCGTTCCCTATTTCTCTGGCTCCAACAGCAGCCAGAGTTTCTGGGCTTTCCCTTTGTCCTCCAGCTGTCCTTCCCATCTGTGCAGGGGGTGGTGCAGAGAGCCGAGGGTGAAGCTGGGGCTCCGTGATTGCTTGCTGGCACATCTGTGGGGTTAGGTATCTGCAGTGCATGTCCCGTGGCTCACCCTGGTGCTTAGAAGTTGGACGGTCCTATTGCAGAGGATCTCAGAAAGTGAAACCATAGGTACTAGCACGAGCTGCTAAGTCAGCCATTGAGCTGGACACTTCATCCCAGAACTGTGTAACAGTGGGGCTGCTCAAGTCCCTAATTGTTACACTGACAGTGCCCCAGAAAGGTTTGACTTTTAAAGCCATAAAGGTACCCAATGGTGATGGATTTCAATAAGAGTTGATGACCTATGTACAGGGCAAGTCCCACCTTTCCAAAGGCAAGGGCTACAAACTGCCACCCTGGCTGGGCCTGCTTGTGGAATAAGGCATTGCTTAGAGGGAACAAGCCTGACAGAATGGGACTGAGCACAAGAGGAGAGGTGGGGCAGGAGAAAATTGGACACAAGGGGCTTCTTCCTCATGTAGGAGTGAAAGGTTCTGGTTGGAAAGCTGTGGGGCTCTATCTTCCACTGTAATTTATGGGTGGCCTTGAAGTGGATTTCAAGGAGGTTTTGAGATCAGGAGAAGAGCAAAGTGGGAGATGCAACAAGGCTGAGCATGCACACTTGAAACCAGGACTGAACACTTCCACAAGCATCCTTGCTAACCTTCTTCTGAACTGCTTATTTTTCAGTGGACTTGGCAGTAGAATGTGCCCATCAAGGAGTTTTCTTTAATCAAGGCCAGTGTTGCACTGCTGCCTCTCGAGTATTTGTGGAGGAGCAGATATACCCAGAATTTGTCAAGCGCAGCGTGGAGTATGCCAAGAAGCGACTGGTTGGAGACCCGTTTGACGCCAGGACTGAGCAGGGGCCCCAGGTAATTATCTGCCTGAGAATCATCTTGTTCTCCTTGGGCATGTATTATTTGCAAGGGCATGTGGTCCTAGTTGAAGTCCTCACGGGTGACTAATAGATCGTGTTGTTTCTCTCTTCTAAACATCAATTAATCACGGCTGTTGACATGTCGGCCTTTTACACAAATGTATTTGAAGCTGGATGATAAAACCGGCTCCAGAGCTGGATTGTCTTATTGTATAGTAATACAAACCATATTGCAGGAGCTATATTGTGTTCTCTGGGTAGAACCACATAGCTGCAGAGAGGTTGTTTTCCAGCTAGATGACACACCAGTGATTCTCTCTACTCTCCACAGATGTAGTCCGATAAAGTCAAAGACCGCAGCCCAAGAAACTCGTGTCCCTAATGCTCAGAGATCCTGGGAAGAGACTTCAGTTGAGTTGCGGGAAGCGGGGAGAGAGGATAGCAACCTAAATGGCAGTGCAAAGATTTCTTGCTCCACTTTCCCCTTTTTCTTTGCCTTTAGGAAAGGGTATTTGTCATTCTCTATCATCATCTAGCTTAGCCACTTTGTTCAAAAAACCACTCAGCCAACTGCTCTGCAGAGCTGGTGCTTTGGCAGAGGCCAAAAAAAAAATCCCTCCAAAATAATTCTAGGTTTTGTTCCAGATCTGGAAGTCTGGCTTTTTCACTGTTAATCTGAAAGTCATAGGCTCTCCTTCTAGCAGCTTAGGGTATAAAGCAGACAAGTTTGATGTCTCACATCGGGCCTGCTTCTACCAGCTGCTCTGACTGTGAGTACTGACTTATTTCAAAGGGACTACTTGCATGAATTGCAGGGATGCTGTGGAAGCTACTGCTGAAAGCAAGTAAAACTAACAGTAAAGGACAGACATTGTTAGAGCATCCCCTAATGGCGAGTCTGCTGGGGCTACCTTCTGGTACCTGCTCTCTCTCCAAGCAACTCTGCGAACACTCAAGTTTGTAAGTTGCTGTTAAGAGTCTGGCCAAGCTTCATAGAACCTGGCAGATGGAGGGGCTGGTATCGAGGCCGGGGGGATGATCA